GTCTGCAACAGGGGGTCTTCAATGGGGGCTGAACGGCCCATGTATGCTCAATTTATCGCTCATGTATGTGATCGGGTATGATTGGCATCCAATGTTGGCGGTCATGGAGGGCCAGTCGTTCGTGCCCGCGCGGGCAAGCGCGCCGTCCATCCATTATCGTTCATGCGTGCGGGCGTTCTTGCATATCGCGCGTGGGGCGGCGAAGTGGAGTGCAAGTGTGTCTTGATTGTGCTATTGATGATCGCGTATGCTCCCAAACGGTGACTTGTCGACCCCCAAGACAGATTTGGAATGGGTCCCGCGATTCTCCCAAAATGTGAATTCACATGTTCCGTTTTTCCAACATGTGAATCCACATTTTCTTTTATCTCAAAATGTGAATTCACAATTTGGCCCCCTCAGGAAGATTCGTATACAAACGTGCAAAATGTGAATTCACATTTTTCCGAAATGTGATTTTCAATTTTTGTTGTTCCCCAACATGTGAATTCAAATCTTGTTTCCCCCCGCGATGTGAATTCACATTTTGCCCTGGCCCTCAAGCTCCCCAAAATTGAGGCGCAGTGTTCCGCATGTCAGATTGGCTGGGCAGATTTGGACACTCACCTCGCCGCTTTCGTTTATTCCAACCTCTTATTTATGCGCCCTCAGCGCACGTTGCCTTCGTCGCCTTTAACAAGCCCCTCGCCTCCTTGTTTCGTTTACCCTCAAGTCTCGCGCATGTGTGCAGGCGGGGAGCTTCAATTGGAGCCCCCGCCGAACACAGCAATCAATAATGCATCGCACGTGCATGGCCCATACAGACGCCATTGCCGGGACCCTGCGCCCGACCCCCGCTTGCATCCTCCAACACATCAGCGCAATGGGAATGGATGGGAGGGTGGGTGAAGCGCGAGCGCACTTAGCTTGTCTCCCATTTCCTCCCCCAACATCCGCTGATCCTCTCCTCCGTCCTTCTTCTCCGATTCCTCCTCCTGCCCGTCGCCCCTCCTCCGCCTTATGCTCTCCCTCCATCCTCTCTCCTCCCCTGCAGCGCTGGCATCCACGCCATGTTATTATGGGGCTTCCGCTCGTCCAGAATCGTGCTCCCGCTGTCGCGCTGGCCTCATTTCCGCGCCTCTGTTCGACCTCAGTCGTGCTCCCGCCGCAGCGTTGGCCTCGTTTCCAGCGCCGTGCCATGGCATGCCATGCCATGCAATGCTATGCTGTGTTCTGCCGTGCGTTGCCGGGCTCGACATCCGGCGACGCGAACAGAGGAGCTCTACGCCATGGTAAGGGATGGGAGGGAGAGGGTAGGACGTCAGATAAGATCCGGCTTGCCTCTCCCCCCTCCTTTCTAAACGCTGGCTTCATTTTCGGGCTACCGCTCGTTCCGAACCGTGTTCCCGCTGCAGCGCTGGCCTCATATCCGCGCTTCCGCTCATTCCGAATCGTGCTACCGCTGCAGCGTTGGCGTCATAATTTCCAGCGCCATGCCACGGCATTTCTGCGGTCCTTCCAAATAGGCCCCAAATCTAGGAAAATTGCCCCCGACAGAAATCATCGGACGTGATTACACATTCGGTGCCGATTCGTTGATTCTTGAGGCCATAGAAGACCTCCCCCCCAACACCCCCAACTTTTGGGTTCCGCCACGCCATGCTATGTCACGCTCCGCGTCCTCGGACTGGCGTTTCTGCTGCAGCGATGGCAGGGCGCTTTCCGACTCCTCTGGGCCGATTCGATTCGATTTCCCAGGGTTCCGACTCGATCCGACTCGATGCGAACATCCCGATTCACGATTCCGATTTCGAGTTCGCCCGATCCGATTCCTGCCGATTTCGATTTGGCAGCCGACTTCTGCCGATTTCTTCCGATTCGGCTTCGCTCCAGCGTCGTCGTCGCCTTCCCTTTCCCTCCTTCGCCTCCCTGCATCGGCGCAGCCCGGCACGGCGGCCAAACCGCGGGCGGCTCGGAGGGATCCCGCCCGAGTGGGGAGGAGGGAGGATTCGTCGCCGTCCACGCCCCGCCCCCATATGGCACCCCAAGGGGCCCCCGACGTCCCCGGACGGGCCCCCGAGGGGCCCATTGACCTTCTCCCGGGGGGACAGACGGGTCTGGCTGTCCGACCCCCTTTTAGGGGAGGGGGTTTGCGACCCACCCCCCTGGGGGGGGGGGGTCGGGTTCCCCCCCCTCTGGGGGGATTTGAGGGTTTCCCCAGTCCTGGGGTTTCAGGTTTCCCCAAACCCTTCCCTAGGGGGGGTTCGGGTATACCCAAAACCACTTGGGTGGGGGTTTCGGGCTTCCGCAACCCACCTCCTGAGGGGGTTCCGGCTTCCCCAACCACCCCCCTCTGGGGAGGGGTTTCGGCCTGGGGAGGCGGGGTTGGGCAAACCCGAAACCACGTGGTTTCGGGTTTCCCCAACCCCGCCTCTGGCGGGGGTTTCGGGTTCCCCCCCCCGCTGGGGAGGGGTTTCGGGTTTCCCAGGGGGGGGCTCGGGTCTGGCGTCCTTCCAGCTGGTTTCCAGCCCGATCCGACTCGGCCCTGCCGACTCTTGCTTATTTCGATTTGGCAGCCGACTTCTGCCGATTTCTGCCGATTCGATGCTCCAGTCAACCCGATTTGGAGTTGTCGATTCGATTCTGGGGCCGCTTGCGGTGGCCTCATTTCCGCGCGTCCGCTCGTTCCGAATCGTGCTCCCGCTGCAGCACTGGCGTCATTATTTCCAGCGCCATGCCACGGCATAGTTTTCGGTCCTTTCAAAGAGGCACCCAAGTCCAAAAACATGTATCGAACAAACATCGGACGTGATTACACATTCGGAGCCGATTCGTTGATTTTTGGGGCCGTAGAACCCCACCCGCTCTGAAAGTAACGCAGGAAGAGTGTGTATATTTCATTCCTGCTCCTATCCTCTGCCATGTCCACCATCTTCGCCCATCTCGGCTCAAGGCGAAGGCGGGCGGTTTCCATAGACAATCCCGGCGGTGCCGGGGAGACCGCGCAGGGGTGCCCGGCCGATTGCGCGAGGACACGAAGGTGTCTTCATCATCACCAAGTCAAGGGATATTCAAGAATATTGAGTACGTCGTACGACGGCGACTCCGCCGTAGACCTCACCGGTGAGTTCTACGATCCAGATTGGTAGCGGAGCCTGTGGTCTCCAGCGAGCCACGGGCTTCCGCTGGTCTCGGTCAAGACGTCGGCAGCAACGAGGACAGCCACAGGCCCTTCCCAGTCGACGACGGCGACAGCCAGAGTGGACGCCCCGTCATGGAAAGGCGAGGCCGGCAGATAGACGAGGTACAAGTTCGAAGTCAACATGTTCATGAGGAGCATCAAGGTGGCGGACCGCTACGCTTGCGGCCCCCAACTGGCGCGCGCTCTCGGGCGCGTGTCCGGACGACAGTGGAGAGTTGCCCGGGCATCAACGATGTGGATGAGATAGATTTGGATTGGAACCTAGTCGGCTGGAACCGAGTTCTAGATTGTGCTGCAAAAGTTTGGCTGCACGGGTCTCAATGATACTGGTCGCCTCGCTGAAGAGAGTTCTTTCTGAAGATCGCGAGGGGCCCGGGTAATATCTTCCAGGACTGGGCGGCCAGGCTCGAGAAGAAGGAGCGCGAGCCGTTGACGCAGCTCAAGGCCATCGACAGCGACGTCACGGAAACGATATCACTACCTATCCATACATGGTTTTTCTTGAGGAAGTCCAGGCTCACCCCAGTGCGTCGCGGAGAGATCGCGGCCACTGCCGATGGCGACTATGACTGTGCGAAGACCTACAAGACCTTGCTGACGCGCTTCCCAGCGGAGGCGCTCGCAGAACTTGACGGCAACACTCGGCGTGACAAAGCCTTTTAGAACGAGGAATGCGACGGCGCTGAGGGCGATATCGGTGGATAGCACCACGGTGAAACAGCATATGTGGCCGAGCAGCTCATCGACCTTGCGGAAGAAGACGAAGAAGATGGCGCTGCTTACGGCCACAGCGCGGACAACAAGGCGCTCGCGGACTCAAGCTGGCGGGCAGGAACTGCAGAGATGCTCGCGATCTTCTGCGGCGACTGCGAGCGTCGCGGGACTGCGACCCCGCGGCGGCCATGAAGGACGAGCGGGGGCGCCAGGCGCCCCCGCCGCCAGCCCCTGGGCGGGGGCACTTCCGACCGAACGGCGGCCGCGGCAGGTCCGCAGGCCGCGCGCGGCGCGAGGCTGCGCGCGGGGGCTGCCGCCGCGACCTGATAAAGATGAAGCGCGTTGCATGCCGCGAGCACGGGCGTCGAGCGGCGGACTGCCCCAGGAGGGGCGTCGAAGGCTAGCCAAGCGGGGCCCAGGGCAGCGCGCGCAATGGCTTCAATTTTTCGGCCTTCAACGAGTGCCTGCACCTGCTGGAGCGCGACGGGAGCTGGGCCGCCCTGGACATCGGGGCCGCCCGGAGTTCGGGAGGCGCCGAGGGTATCGAGAACCTCGCGCGCGAGATGCTGGTCGAGCATGGCGCGAAGTTCGAGACGGACAGCGATGCGTGCACGTTTACCTTCGGCGACGACTTCTCCGAGAGCTCGATGGGCACTGTCACGGGCAACGTCTTCTCAACGTCTTCTTGGGGGGCGATCTCTACCAGGTGCGCCTCTCGGCGATGCCGAGCCGGACCCCGATCCTCCTCGGCGTGGACATCCTGAGCGACTCTCTCAAGATGGTCGTTGATTGCGGCCAGAATTGGAGTGGCTTGCTTGCCCTCGCCAACCAGGCGCATTAGTGCGAGTGCCTCTCCAACAACCGCGTGGCCGTCAATTTGCCGACCCCGCAGTGGTCGGGGGAGTCGCCATTTTCCTTGACGAATCCGGGGTGCCTGGCCACTGAGTCGGACGACCCGAAGGCGCTGGTCGAGGAGCTGGCGTCAGAGACAGCCCTCGACCGCTGCTGTCTTGCCGCGCGCTAGGGACAGCGCCCCTGGCAGCGAAAGAGAAGTCTCATTCGCGACCATCATCATCGGGGGGGCAGGCCGACGAGGTCAGCGAGGATGCGGAGCACCTACCAGAGCGACGGAAACATCGACGGCACAGACGCCGACCAGGGCGACGGAAACGCCGGCGCGGAGCGGATCGGCGAGAGCGACGGAAATCGATATCGACCGGTTCGTCGGATCTTCTTTCGCCCTCGACTCTAACGGCATTGGCCTCCTCAGCCTCTGGGATCTCAACAAACCAGCCGCGTCAGAAGAGAGAAGGCCGCCAACTTCACGACGAAACCTCACGCCGAAGAAGCAGAAACGAAACGGAGCTCACCCCTGCGTTCTGCGCGGCCTCAGTCGGCTCAATCCAGATGCTTGGCAGCAGCCGCGACCAGCAGTCTTCCACGACCTCCGTTTCTCTCCCGATCCGCCGCCGGCCGCTTGGATGTCATGCAGCGGCTCTTCAGCTGGGCCTGGATCAGCACCGCAGCCGCCGCCTGCGCCTGCAGCTCGCCCGGCGCGGGCGCGCCCGAGTCTGCGGGCAGCCCCGTCGACGCCATCCTCAGCAGCTCCAACGACACCCCGACGACTTCCTCGCTCTCAGAGCAGCTGCACCCCGGCGGGGAAGTGCTCGCGCTGCGGAGCAGCGGGGGTGGGGGCGGGGGGGCGCGCGAGGGTGGGGACCACCGGTGCCTCCGACAGATGCCGGCGCAGGGCGGTCCGAAGACGCCCATGGGCACCTCGGCGCGCCCATGCGCCGGCGAGTCCTTCCCCGGCACCGACATCGACGAATGCTCGAACCACCCCTCCGAAGAACGGATGTTCGTGCTGCGGAGCGCTCGGGCGGACCATCCAGGGGTGCAGCTGCCGCGGGGGCCAGCGTCTGAGGGCGGAAGTGGAGTGGGTGCGGAGCCAGGCAGTGGCATTGCGCTGGCGGCGTCTGATCAACCAGGCTACCTCGCCGGAGATCGAGGACGGACGAAAGTCCCCGGCGGAGGTGCTCGACGACTCAGACCTCCAGGAAGCGGGCGCGAGAAGGAAGCGATAAAGCAGCTGGACGAGCAGGATCTCAATATTCTCTTCGAAGGACACGACAAGGCCAGCGACGCGATCTACAGGGGCATCGCCGAGGACGTCTCGGAGCTGAACAGACCCTTCCGCGTCGACCTCGCGGAGGTGCGCTGCCCGGGTTGCCCCAGCTTGACCCGAGCCGTGCAGGGGCAGGGCGGCAATATCTATAGGTGCGGCTACTTCAATGGGATAGATATGGCGACGGCAACTGGGGTGCGACGCGCGCTCCACCTTTTTCGGCGAGTCCGACCCCGCTGACTCGTGCTGAGCCCACCATGCACCGCAGACTGTCCCGGCGAAGATGCGCAGGGCCCGTCGCGTCGAGCGAAACTGCAAGAGCCTCTGGGAGGAGGCCAAGAATATTGCCGACTGCCACGCCGTGCTCGAACAACCGTCCGCGAGTCGGAGCCGGCCCCGATCGCCGCCCGCCGAGGCGATGCGCGAACAGATGCGCGACACCGTGATGCATGGTTGTGTGCATGCCCTTCGCGAGGACCGATCAGGTCTTCTAATGAAAAAGGCCTGGCGCATTTTTTTTGCCGACCTGGAGTCCGGCGCGACGCTCGGCGGGGCATGCTCCGACCGCCCCGGCAGGGGCGACAGCCGCCCTCGTCGGGCCATCGAGGACGGCCAGGTGGTAGCGCAGATTGCATGCTACCTTCCAGCGCCGTGCAAGGCTTGGGCGAAGCACATTATACGGAAGGGCGCGAGCGCCCACTGCGGCGCGGAGATCTACTCGGGCCTGGGGCAGGCAACCCTCGAAGGCGGCCTTCCCCCCGACGAGCTCGAAGAGATGGGCGAGGACGAGGTCATGAGAGGCCTCGGAATCTTCGGGGCACCAACCAAGAAGGAGGAGGTGGAGATCGAGCAGCGGCTGGCGAGGCGCCATCAGGACCTGGGACATCCGAGTAGCAAGACGCTTTACAGGATCCTCAAGGCCTCTGGGGCCCGAGTACAGGTCCTTCGACTCGCTCTACGTCTTCAACGTCATGGGTGCCGCATCGGACAAACCCCTGAGGCTGTGAGAGTGGCCTCTGGCATAGAGCTACCAGGAGTGCTCGAAGTCCTGGCTTCGGACGAGCTCGAGTGGCCCTCGCCGAAACAGGACATCTTCACGATGGCGCTGAACCTCGACTGGGGGCCCAGACTCACGAGCGCCACCTACCGCGGAGAGAAGGGCGAACGGAGCGGCAACAGGTCGACGTCCGAGGTGATCGCGACATGGAACACGCGGTGCAGCTACTGCCGGCGACCCAGCCTACTGCGTGTTGATCCTGAGGGTTGCCGCCGTTCACGGGCCGTGGCAACATGGCGTTCCGATCGCGGCATCGTGTTGTGGACTGCCCCTGGCGAAGCCCACCGGCTACGCTGGGCAAGGTGGAGCGGCGCATTCAACTTTCCAGGCGTCTGATGGCGAAGCTGGCACCCCCCCGCCACGGGCGCCTCGTCGAGGAGCTGATTCACTGGGCCGTGGCCGCCGCCAACAGCATGGACAAGGTCGGCAATCCTTCCCCATTCGAGCACGTGGTGGGCGTGACAGGCGCGCCTGCCTCCAGCAATTCGTTCGCCATTGGGTTAAGCAGCGGGCCTGTAACTATCGGGCCCCCCGCGGCCACTTTGGGGGGCGCGAGAATCCAACGCGCGTGTCTGGAATCGTGTTCGAAGAACGAGAGAGAGAGAGAGAGAGAGAGAGAGAGAGAGAGAGAGCGCAATGCGCCCTTGCTGACGATCGCACGCGGTCCGAAGGGCTTCGTCATCAACGAAGTTCAGTTGAAACGCAACTACCACATAGCAGCGCGAAGCGGCCCATCTGGATCGCATTGGCCACGCGTGAGCCGCCCGAGCTTGCGCCAAGAGACCACCGAGGACCACGGGCGCCCAACTGGCAACGCGTGCTACCGCCACCAACAGCGCAATGAGCCCTTGCCGCTGTTCGGGGCAGCGGGGCCGCCCCCGCGGCATGGCCACGAGTGGCCGTTGCTGATATTCAAATATGTCGGCTCTGAAACCTAACGAAACCTGTCCTGTTCGAGTGCCGCTTGGTTTCCTACTTTTCGGGCCTTTCCGCGCGTTCGTGGCTCTGGGGCCAACGCGGCAATCTCTTGACGTGAAAAAATTCGGCGATTGAGGCATCGCCCTTGCTGGCCCACGGGGTGGTCAAGCCCCGCGCTACTATCCACTCGGCAATAATCGGCTGCGTGCCGAACTTATAAAACAGCCTTCGCTTGCTCATGGGGTTGCGGATGCTCGAGCCAACTTGCCGACTGCTCCATCTCCCCGAGATAGAAGCGGACAGCGCGCTCGCGGTCGCGGCCCCCGGCGCCGCGGCGCGAGGCGCGGGTGTTTCCATGTCCCGTCGGGGGCAACCGCCAAGACAGCAATGCGGACCGCCAATCGACCAGGCAAGTCCTCACCTGCGAGAGTGTTGACCGCGCGCGGAAGCGCGCGCGCCCAGCGGCGCGCGCAGCGACGAAGGCCGCCAGAATTCTTATTGGCGGCCGCCCACGTTTGATTGTCATGTTCCGAATACGTATTGCGATCTTATTGGTGCCAGGATGCTGAGCCCCTCCCCTCGTTTGACTACGTGCTGGGCCCCGGCCGCAGAACGTCGCTCATGGCCTTTGCAACGCGTGGGTCGCTTCTGCACTTGGAGCTGGCGCCGCCGCTGGCTGTCGCGGCGCGGGGCGCGGCGTCGCCGGGGCCCGAAGCGGCGGGCGCCCCGCGCGACCGCCTGCAGGTTGTCGAGTTCCCGAGCTGAAGCGCCATGTGCGGCATCGTGAACGATGCGTCTACAACGCCGCCCGCTAGCAGAGGTCTCCGCGGGCGCGGCCGCCGCGCGCCCCCTTCGCGGGCGGGCGCAGGCGAGTCGCGATGCAAGCCCAAGCGCCACGCGCGGCCGATCGAGCGCCTCAGTGACGCCCAAATAACCTCATCAGCTTGCTCCACCATTGCGACAACCTGGAACTCGCGCGCGCATCCAAGGGCGCATTCTATTTCGCGAAGTTGAACGTCCAAGGCTGGCCTCGCAGCGCGCGCCCGCAAGAGCCCGACGCTGACAATCGGCCTCGCCGGGCAACCTTGACAATGGGCGGTCGATATTACTTGCCGCCCTGTCCGATCTTAGAAGAGGCAACAATCCCGTCCAAGCGGTGGGGCCGTCACGGGGCGAGGCAGCGCGATGCCCTAGCGGGCCGCCGCGCAATGTCAAGGACGCGCGCCGGGGCGCGCTTCGGGGCGGGGCGCGCGCGGGCCCCGTACTTGGACCCCGCGCTCTGACATTGTACTCGGAGGCAGGAAACTCAGACAGCTCTAATAAGGAGCTGTCTGGAGGGGGTGGCGTACGTCGAAGGCGCGAAACTCAACCAGATGCAGTGCGGGACTCCCTGGGGAAAACCGATTTCACCGACGATGTAGTGACGAAGTGTCTGGATATCGGGCGTCCGACGCACGCCTCGAGGGCGCGCGTCGAGGTCGACCCCGCCTCGCCGACTTGTTGCGACGTCCTCGGTCGATGTCGCTGCGGCCCCCGCGGGGCGCATTGGGCGCCCAGAGCATGCCCGCGGGCCGCGCTGCCACTTTGGCGCGCGCGCGCAGGCTGCCCCGCGCGCGCCCAACCCTGGCGCGTTGGACCCCGTGGGCCGCGCGCGTGGCGGCGCGAATAGCAAGGCACTGGCGCCTTCGGCGCCCGAGCAGGAGGCCGCCGCCAACGTTTCACCACCTTCGCCCAGACACCGCGAGCAAGTCCAGAATCAAGAGCGGCATCGCCACAGCGCGCCACAGCGCGCCCAAGAGGGCGCCAGCCCACGGCCCAGAGGTCGCGCGACGCCCAAAGGGGCGCCCGAAACCTCGCGGAAACGACCAGAAAGGGAACCAAGGACAAACCCAAGGAAGGGGGCGCGAATTGAACAGCCTGGGCCTTCCGCCCCAAGGAGGGCCCCGGGAGAGCGCGGGCAATTCCCCCTCGAGGCGCTCCGCGCAAAACCAGCCCAAGCGGCGCCGAGAAGCCAGCGCAGAGTCCCAGCGCGGCTTCGCAACTGCATCCGGGAGGTCGCAGATGCTTCCGCAAAATTCAACCAAACGCGACAACAATCGCCACCCACATCCCTATGGCAATCGCCCTCCTTGCCGCCGCAACGCTGATTTGAACGATCGCCCCCCAAGCTGCTGGGCTGGCGCGACGGCAGGGCCGCCGCGGGCGGCTGGGCGCGACGCTCCCCGGCCAGCCCGCGGGGCGCCAATGCGGGGGGGCGGTGCGACCCAGAAGGCGCCCAAGAGGGCGCGCGAGAGACGTTCCATATTCATCGGGGACGCTTCAGCCACCATAGCGCCATCTTTAATGGCCCCAGCAAGGGTTCGACGTCGCATGCGACTCGCCCAACGGCCCTCTGACGCATGAGGGCGCCGGCCGCCTTGGGCGTCGCGGGGCCTTGCGCAGCCTGGCCGAGCGGGGCCGTGGCCCGCGCCCGCCCCGTCTGGGCCCCTCTGGGCCCGGTGGCATCCCTGCCCCGCTGGCAGGAACTTGGCTTTCTCATATGTTAAAAAAGGGTTCTGTGCCGCGCGCGCCGCGTCCGCATATGGCATTATGAGGCGCGCGGCGCGTTCGCACTGTAAAATGCTGGCTCCCTTTGAGCGGGCCACGCAGCGGGGCCGTCTTCACCGGCGCGCGCCCCTTGGCGCCTCCACTTGGCACCATCTCCAGCAGCGCGCTTCAACCGACGCGCCGCCTCAAAGAGGACAAAGTGGAAGGGGGATTGGAGGGGTGGGGGGGGAGGGACATAACGATCCATGAGAGTGCAAACAAAGTGCAGCAGCATGGGCCGCAGGTCACAGATGAGACGGGGGAGGCGGGCCACGGAATCGGCTCATGGTGTCAGGGGCGCTGGGGGTATGTCACATTCGCCCACTGGATGTCCTGCGGGGGAGGGGATTCGACCCCTCGCGCCGCTAGTCATCGAGGCGCATTAACGTTCGCCTTGCGACGGGATTCAAGCGCGTGCTTGCGTTTCTTGCTGACGAAAGCAGCATCCTATAGAGCGCGCCCCCAGCTGCCTCCGCGCTTAAGCCAGGTTCGCCATGATCGACGGGGGCGCCGGCGAGACGCAAGAACGACGACGCCTTCTCGCCCGCGTAAGCTTCCTGGAAGCGGAGCATGCAGAACGTCGCCGACATGCAGAGCACGCAGACCTGGAACCCAGGGACCTCGTCTACTTCTGGCGCAAGGGGAAGGGTCTCGAGAACCGCCCTGGGAAGAAGGGCGGTTGGTACGGTCCCGCCCGCGTCCTGGTGCAGGAGAGGCGGCGCGCGGGCGGGCGGGCTCGCCCGACCTCGGTTTTCTGGGTCTCTCACGGGAACGTGCTCCCCAGGTGTGCCCCAGAGCAGATGCGGGCCGCCTCCGAGGCGGAAGAGATGATCGCCGAGCTGCAGCGACGGGCCAAGACAATGACGGAGATCTTGGAGACGGCGAAGGCGGGGACCTTCGAGGACCTTCAGGGGCAGAGCCTTTCAGATCTCCAAGAATGCGAGCTCCCGTCGCCGCCTGCGATGGAGATCTCTGGAGAGGACGCCGCTGCCGAAGAACCGCCCTCCACGGCCATCGACGAGGCTGGAGAGCCACCGCGCGCCGGCGCTGGAACGGGCGGCGCGGCGGCGCCGCCGCGGCAGGTGACGCCCAGTTCAGCCGCCCAGCCAGAAGGAGAACCGAGCGAGAGACCAGAGAGACAGTCCAGATCGCCACCGCCCCGCTCGATAGACCGGACAGCCGCGCCGACGCCGCCGCCGACGCGCGCCGAGGCATCGACGCCGGCCAGAGGCGCCTCTCGGGCACCGTCGCGACCGCAGCCCGGAGAGGCTTCGTCCACGGCAGCAGGCGCCGCTGCCCGGGGCGAGCCCAGACCGCGGCGGAGGATGATGCACCGAGGACTTGAGTTGGACCACCACGTTCCGCTTGAGATCGAAGCGGCAGAAGGGGCCCGACGAGGAGGTGGCCAAGGCCATGGGCCATGGGCGACGACTCCAATCCCTTGGTCAACTTATTCCGCGACAAGATCGCCCTCGGCAGCGACGAGCAGCAGACCGCCTATTTCGAGCACCTCGTGGACGAGAACGCGACGCCCGACGGGCGCCGCAGCCCGCTGGGCCACGTCCTGGGTAGCTTCGTTGCCAACCAAAGCCGCAGGGGCAAGGTGGGGCTCACCAGCTGGTCAAATATGAACACTGGCGAGCGGGGGGGGGGCTCGATGGGGGCCATCGCCAAGGAGGCCAACAACAGGTTTCACTGCCAGGGGCCCAGGCCCGTCCCCATCTCCGGGGTCAAGGATGCCCCCGACGTCATTCGGGCGGGGTGGTTTTCACCCGCAAGCCAGACGGGCAGGCGAGGGCGCGGCTGGCGCTCCTCGGCTATCCGACCGAAGACTTGGGGCAAGAACCAAGTGCGAGCCCGAGGGCCCCGCGACGGGTTCGACGCGCCATGCTCGCAGTGGCCGGGGCGAACCATTGGAGGCCGATCGAGGGCGGCGTGACCTCGGCCTTCCAACAGGCGCA